TAAAAAAACTAAATTGACTTACATTAAAATAAGAATAGCCCGTAGCTCAGTTTATTTCATAATAGATAAAAGCGTCAAGTATCAACTTTTACATTCTCTTACATAATGAAAATAAAGTGCTTAAAGTATCAGTAAATAGGCGATAAAAATAAAGTACTTAAGGTCAGTTTTCAAAAATAAAAAAATCCTAATCATGTTTAAAAAATGCTTCCTCTTGAACATTATATTTGTTTTTTAAAAGACTGAACAGACTTTTTTTTTACTCTAATCTTTCAATTTTCAATCATGTATGATAAATTATATAATTATTAATATTATAGTTATAAATTAATTAGTTATAAACTATATATATTTAACATTTGTGTCTCTTGACATATTGGTCAGGGAAAACTTTCATTAAACAGGGAAAAGTCAGGGAATTTTACTCTGCAAATTTGGTAGCCACCCTGTACTAAAACGAATCCTACCCATAATAGAATCACAAAACCTTCCTACACATCAATTCGGATTTCGTTTCCAGCATTCCACCGTTCAACAAGGATTCTGAATTGTTGATCACATATCCTCAGCCTTAGAAAGCAAAGAGTATTGCTCAGGAGCATTCCTGGACATTGAGCAAGCTTTCGACCGCGTATGGCATACCGGACTACTCTTCAAGCTCAAAACCCACCTACCCCAGTCCTTATATCTAATACTCCGATCCTCCCTCTCTGACCGCTCCTTTCAAGTTCACTTTCAAGTGGTACAAAATTCTCCAACTGCCATTCAATTGAGGCGGGAGTTCCTCAAGGCAGCGTCTTGAGTCCCGTCCTCTACATTCTGTTTACCGCTGATATTCCTACTCATCCCGAAACCCTCCTGGCAATATTTGCTGATGACACAGCTATCCTATCTTCCAATCCAGATCCTAAAACAGCATCCTCAAACCTACAAAGTCACCTTTCTTTTATTGAACATTGGTGTAATAAGTGGCGCATCAAAGTAAATGAATCCAAATCCAAACACATCACTTTTACCCTTCGGCGCAAGTCCTGTCCACCAGTCGCGGGGCCACTGCCGTTTTAACCTCCGGGGAGGATTGTAGGGATGGCTGGAGCTAGATAGGGATTGTACTACAGGATTTGGATGATGAGTGAGTTTCTGGTGAAATTTGTAAAATTTGTCTGGGATTAGGTCAATAACAAATGGGATATGAAGGTCATTATTATCCTGTCCACCAGTCTATTTCAAATCCATACCACTTCCTCTCTCAGACACAGTCCTGTATCTTGGCTTTCTTCTAGATAAAAGACTAACGTGGAACCCACATACCAGACTTAAAAGACAACAACTAAACAGACGATTCGGATAGCTATATAGACTAATGAATAGAAAATCTCAACTTTCAGTCGACAACAAACTACTAATCTACAAGACAATCCTGAAACCTATCTGGACCTACTGACTAGAGCAGTGAGAGGTCAACAAAACCTTCTAACATTAAGCGCATTCAATCCTTTCAGTCTAAAGTCCTCCGAACAATAGTTGATGCTCCCTTCTATGTATCCAACAAAACCCTCCATAATGATCTTCATATCCCATTTGTTATTGACCTAATCCCAGACAAATTTTCCAAATTTCACCAGAAACTCACTCATCCAAATCCTGTAGCACAATCCCTATCTAGCTCCAGCCATCCCTATAATCCTCCCGGAGGTTAAAACGGCAGTGGCCCCGCGACCTTTTGTAAATATGTATATATATTGGAGTATTGGCAATGGCCAGATGCTCCACTCATGACCCAAGCGTCGGTTGCTCTAGTGCCCTCCATCAGTCACCACTGGCTTGCAATACCAGTGACGCGGCTGGGAGAGAAGCACTGGGATCTCCTGGGGTCCTGCCTTGGCTTCCACATTTGGGGACAAAGCATGACTCAGAATCCTCTGGGCGAATGTAAATATTGTATATAGGTATGAATGTGTTTTATATATTTCAATTTCATTTAGCTTTTCTCTATTTATTTTTTTTTCTCTTGTTTTATTTATTTTTTATTTTTTACCTACGTATGTTAAACTCTTTCTTTTAACTCTATTTTAGTTATCATTTGTATGTATATATATTCTGTGAATGTTTAATGTAGCCCTAATATTAATGCCCTCCAATGCAGCAGAATGTATTCATTTTCAAATATTAAAAAAAAAAAAAAAAAAATATTACTGCGTGCTTAAGACAAATATTTAATGTTTGAAGTCTGTATTTCTGAATATGTGTGAAACCAAGATTTACCAGAAAAGCTCAAAACTGCATGGTTTAATGATATTGTACTTATAGTTTTTTGCAGTGTGTCTGTCCTAGGTAGCTAATTATTTTTTTAATGTTCACTTTAATTTCTTTCTTTATTCCCTAATCTACCTCAATGGACTACCTATTCATTTCCATCATCCCGTAAAATCTTGGAGTAATTTTTGATCAATACCTCCTAGAACAATCATATTTCTCAAATTATCCAAAAATTGATTGTTACCCTAACAATTCCTAAGATTTCGTGATTTTATGCCCCTAAAACCGCATCAGCTCCTAGTTCTCTCTCATTTTTCTTCCCTTCGATTATGGCTGCCTTTTATATGGTGGACTGTCTGGTGGACTAGAGTTCAGATTGTAAGAGACGAATTGTTTCTCTAGATTCATCTTTGAAGCCCCTAGGCGCTCCCACATCTCCAGTTGGTACACCGAGTTGAAGTGGCTCTATCCAGCTTTCCAACAGCAATATTTCCTTGGCGTTTTCCTTTTTCTTTACAACCAAAATACCCTTTTACCTTCTTGATCTGTTTATTCCTTGCTCCCCTGTCCATTCGTTTAAAACAAGATTCCAGCTCAGAAACCTGTTTATTCCTTCTCATATAACTGCTTTCTTTAAAAAATCTTTCCTTAAACGTGCTACCTTGTTTTGGAATTCTCTACCTGCTTCCGTATGCTAATACTCATCCTTAACCTCATTTAAACACCCTTTACTTTTTCATTTCCCCAGCAATCAATCTTTCAAATATAAATAAAAATAATATTTTTCTGTTTTTTAGAGCTGTCGTCTTATTTTACTGTTGTCTTACAGATACCTATATATTATCTATTGTTTATATGTGAACACACTCTTATATATCCACCTATAATTCAAATGTGAACTTGTGCCTTTCTTTATTTTAATTTCAAGACTCAATAGCAATGTAATTTAATTAACAATAAAAAGTTGATTAACTTCGTTTGCCAGACAAATGTCACTAAATTGTTCATTATAATTATTCGTATGGGGCTGAATGCCCCAGAATAAATTTACTTTTCTTTCTTTCTATATTTATATTTCTTTTTATATATACACTGACAGGCAAAAAATTCCACCCACTTGATTTTTTCATGTTTTCAAAAATATTTCTGCTTTAGATTGGTCTGTTTTAAATGAATAAATAGGTAATCTTTTTGTTTGTTTTCAATTAGGAATATTAATATAGAGGACAATAACCCTTAATCCTTAATTCAATGAAATGATTCTAGATTCCAATGTTTACTTTCTATGAAATCAAAATTTCTGAACGTACCACTTGGAGAAGATTAAATGAGTATGGATTAATGGCTTTTCGTCCAGTAAGAGGACCAGAGTTGACCAGAACTCACAGAGTAACACAGCTGGCTTTTGCTCGAGAATATAGCCATTGGACTATGGACTAATGGAGTGCTGTACTTTTTACAGATGAGTCAAGATTCGATCTTCGATCTCCAGACGGGCATGAAAGGGTGTGGAGAAGAAACGAAAGGTATGCAGCCTGTAATTTTTCCCAGAGCCAACCTTTCCAACGTGGTTCCTTAATGGTGTGGGCTGGGATTTCAATGGAGCGCCGCACAGAATTGGTTGTTGTTCGTGGAGGGTCTTTGACGGCCATTCACTATGTAGATGAGATTTTGGAACCTCATGTGTTGCCTATCCTCAACGAAATACGGCGATCGTTCTATTCTAATGCACGGCCACATGTCGCCCGCATAGTGCAGACGTTCCTTCAACAGAACAATATTGAGGTTTTGGCCTGGTCAGCACGTTCTTCAGATTTGAACCACATTGAGCATTTATGGGATAAACTCGGAAGACGAATAAGAGCGCGTGCAACATTTCCTGATACACTGCAGGACCTTGAAAGAGCTCTTCGGGAGGAATGGGCTATCCTCCAGCAAAGGGACATTTTTCAACTGGTGGAAAGTATGCCGAGGCGTCTTCAAGAAGTAGTGAAGGCAAGAGGAGGAAACCCACGCTACTAAACGACGATGTAATTAATTTCTTTTAGAATAATAATGGTTCGTTTTTCAATTTTTTTTTTTCTCCAATTTTTCTTACCCAATCACATTTTGATTATTAAAGGTATATTAACATTCCTAATTGAAAACAAACAAAAAGATTACCTATTTATTCATTTAAAACAATAGACCAATCCAAAGCTGAAATATTTTTAGATGAAAACATGAAAAAATCAAGTGGGTGGAATTTTTTGCCTGTCAGTGTATATAGGCTTGGGTAATGATCCTAAAACACTCTTTTTATTGTTTATTAAGATTATTTATTTAGATATAATAAACTGTTTTATAATAATTACAGTTTCTTCAAATGGGAAGAAAAACATTTTATAGGTTATATTTTGAAGAAAAATATTTATATTTATATTTTAATCCAGAAAGTATGCTGTGTTAAATTACTATTGCTAAACTATTTTCACCTCATTTTGCTATTATTGTAAGGTAGCTTTAATTCTAGGGTAAATGCATTTATTCTTATTTTACTTCATTTCATTTGTACTAAAAGAGAAAACGTGCTGTTGATGCGATATGTCACATTAGTTGTCCATAAGTGGAGTTATTGAGTTATATAGTTTTATATTATATAGTTGTATTTGATTTCCACTTTCCTGTTTACACCTTTTTAACAAATTAACCTATGTGAGCGTTATTTCATACTTTATTAAAAGTATATGAATACTTTTTAGGATGCAATGGAATATGCTGCGGAATCAAAGAATTCAGAAGTTGCTGAAGAACTTTTAGCATGGTTTTTAGAAAAAGGAAATCATGACTGTTTTGCTGCTTGTTTGTTCCAATGTTATGATCTTCTTCATCCTGATGTTATTCTGGAACTTGCATGGCGACATAATATCATGGATTTTGCTATGCCATATATTATTCAAGTGACAAGAGAGTATATTACCAAGGTATGATAGTTTTGTTTTGTAATTTATTATTTTTTTATTTTATGTTTATAGCTGTATTTTATTTTGTACCTTACAATTATTCAAGTGGCAAGAGAGTATATTACCAAGGTATTATAGTTTTGTTTTGTAATTTATTATTTTTTTGTTTTATGTTTATAGCTGTATTTTATTTTGTTTGCTTTACTTTTGTTCTTTTTACTATCGTTTTATTGGTATTGTTGAATTTCCAAGTGCTAAAACCTTTAAGCATGATATTCACTATAAATGGGTTATTACTCTGGCTTCTATTATTGTTTATCATTCTTCTTTTTATTTCATAATTAGAGAAATCTCATCAAGTATAAAATTATTTGAGATTGTTACCATTATATTTATATGATTTTAGGCATCATAACCAGTGATTTTTATGTCTGAATGATATTCTTATGATTTTAGGCGTCATAACCAGTGATTTTTTTAAAAGGTGGGAAGATTGACCCAATGCTAAACCCCAATACCAGCAGGACCAATCAGTTACATTTATTTCAGGGTATCACCCTCCATGGAGTTGTTTTCACTACATCTGTAGAGTACTCTCTGCCCTCTCAGAGTAGGTAATTTTACTCTGCTTTAGAGGGCTGATATTGACTCCTCATCTTAGTACATCTGCCACCAATTCCTAGGTGCAAATCCTGCTGACAGCTTAAACCATATGATACCCCTCGCGGTTTTTCAAATTTTGGCTTACGGCTCCTTAGTACGTCAAACTTGGCGATATATATCAAGGAGCTATTAAATGATTAGTGAAAATACCGAAGTTGTATAAGAATTTAATTTTTTTTGTTATGAAAATTCAGAATTTCAAGGATGGCCTGCGAACTAGACCAATAAGCTTTCTACAACTTGACTCAAGAGTATGGATTGTATCAAATAAGAGCTGAGCTCTGGGAGGTGGTTCAGGATGACCTACACTGTAGACTTCTAATCGTTAAAGGGTTAAAATGTATGAAGGGAAAGTATTCAGTTAGCTTTTGATTTTTATATTAGTTATATCTAGTATAAAATTCAATAAGATAATATGATCAGGTTAACTGTTTGTTTGTACATTGAGAATATCTGAATGTACTGATTTTCAAACATAGCAAAATTAATAAAAATACTAATATCGGTTTACTGTTTATGGAAACCATGGTTGCCCTGTTTTTTTGAAAGTGTACCTTAAGCATTCTAAAGTCACACAAGGCTATCTGACTACAGGGATTGACTTATTTTATTGTAGACCAACCAGCAGAATATTTATTATTCTTCTTACCCAGAAAGGAAAAGATTGGTAACCTGGAGGATAACTATTTGATCATGCTCTGTAGTCTGTTGCCGAGACCCTCCTCCGTTTCTATGTTACTTCCTTTATTCTGTACTATAGTCTGTGGGCCAGACCCCCTTACCGTGCACCTCCCCCCCCCCCCACATCCCTATAAATTGTATATCGTGTTCCTTGTAACTATTTATTAAAAAAAGCCAATGTTCCCACAAAAAAAAGTGAACGCACTGCCCCAAAATGGCGTCCAAAGATGGCGGATTGGCAACTTTGACTTTAGTTAGTTTTTTGGTCATTGAGAAGCAGCATTTGGCTTAATTTCCTCATAGTTGGTCTTTTATTAAAGCTGAATAGTCATAGAATAATAAAACATGAAGAAATATTAAAAAATAATTGGCTTAGGTTGTGAAAAACACCAGTAAAGTCAATTTTTTTAACAAAAAAATTTTCAAGTTACAAATCAAGCGTCGTTTGTAATTAAACGGCCTACAATAACGCAAAACATGCTGAAATATAACATATGGAGAATATATTTCTCTTTCTAAAACGATGAACGAAACAAATATCAATGCAATAAATTAAATGTAAAAAAATTAAAATTAAAAAAAAAATGTATTATTTTTTTTTTAAATTTAACCTCCTTTATTCTATACTTAGGTCGTTTAAGAAGACCTCAATTGTAAAAATGATATAATTATAATAACAAAACTTAATTAAAAAATACTTTGCTAAATATCTTGATTTTTTTTTTTATTTAACGTTTGCAATTTATCACTGTGTTTTGTATATTTACTGATTCTGAGAGGTAATTAAAATTTTTATATACTTCCCCGGAAATGAGTCATATTAATACCGATTTTATAAACTAAAGTAATATATACCTAATGTGAACTATATATGATGTATAGCTACCGGGTTGTTTAGTAAAACTCATATATCACTAATTAAAAAAATAATTTTTATTTCCTTTATTTTGTGCAGAAGTTGGACTGTATCATAAATAAATAGGAAATTTTAATATTGAATGAATTATTCTCTATGCACAAAGGAAGATAGAAAGGGTGACGCTATAAGTTCTTCTATAATCAGAACTGATTGTTTGGGTTTGGTCTCAAAATTAGGAAAACCGCGAAATTGAACCAGAAAATTGGAAAAATACATTAAGCGAACGAGAAAGGAAGTGCCAAAACCTCAGAAAAAGATAAAAAGGATCCACAGTATCCATTATATAGCTAAATGAATGTATAGTAGACAGATGAACAGAATATTTCAAGATGCTGCTAAAATGGGGCAATAGCAGTTTGGATGATATTAAGTGGACGATGTAGGTTTATTATGGTGAAAACCACTTTATTTTCGATTGCTGTAGGTGCACATCGGGACTATCTTCACTTTGAAGCAAGATATAGAAAGGTATATCGAGAAAGTTATAGCTCATAGCTCTCCTTCTGTTTAGTGCATTTGCAATAAATCACTATTGCTTTGAAAAGACGAAAGTAGACAAAAACAATAATATTATCAGAGACACACCTGCTTGTTTGGGTGGAAGCTGGTAGTTATATCTTGGAAATAGAGTTATAAAGTTAAAAAACAGTACCAGTGAAGGAAGCAATTGTGATGGAGTAGTGGGGATTAGGCTGCCGCCGGCTATCCCCACTGCTCCATCTCAATTGCTTCCTTCACCGGTACTGTTTTTTAACTTCATAACTCTATTTCCAAGATATAACTGTAGTGAAGCTCTAATATCAATATGGTAATACAGAATGATGTATCTAAGAAAAATAATTGAAAGATATCTATAAAATAACTGTTGAAATATTATGATTAGCGAGTGGCACTTAGTTGAGCTCCTGACTGGTCGAGAGATACTCTAAGACTGGAGACTCTAGTAGCGTAGTACATGCCTACACAAACCACATTTTTACAGATTGAACCAACACAGTGTATCCACCACGGAATCATCACAAACTAAATTCTACCCGCCTGTCCCAAAGTTACCATAGCTTACAGTTATCGCTTTTGCTTAACAGTTTAGCAACTATTTGTTATATGTAATTTAGATTAAGTATATATTTTAGTTTCTCTATATAAAGTCCTGCATGGACTCTCGCCAATGCTGTTCAACTTAGCCCTTGAGAAAGTAATAAGAACAACATAACGCGAAGATGGAGGGGTGTATGTCGGAATGAAACATAAAATCCTAGCATATGTAGATGATATAGCTGTCCTCAGAAGCAATCAACAGCATATTGAGAGATTTGCTCGGACTCTAAGAGAAGTAGAGCAAATCAGGCTACAAGTCAATTAAGATAAAACAAAATATATGTTAGTTAGCCGAAATATCCACCCTGATTGCATGATCTGCGTAAAGTCATACCCGAAAGTAAATAGATTCAAATACAATAACCTCAATAAATGATCAATTAACGGAGATAGACCAGCGAATAACAAATGCGAACAGAGCTAAAACTAAGGGTGTACAACGCAGTGATAAAGCCAGTTCTGCTGTACGGCTGTGAAACCTGGGATTTAACCGGTATCCTAGAAAGCAGAATTGAGAGATTCGAAAGAAAAATCCTCCGTACGATAACAGGACCTATATGGGGTCAGAACCTTAACACATGCAGGAGGAGGAATAATAAAGAAATTGTTCAATCAATATCTCATGATATGATGACAAGGAGGTTAAGATGGGCAGGGTATGTAGCTCGAAGCAATCCATCAGGATGCCTTTACACAATAATGAATGCCAGAGTAGTTGGCAAGAGACCACGAGGGAGGCCAAAAACGAGATAAATAGATAGATAGGATAAACAAAGATACGGCCGAGGTTCATGCCACAAACTGGAATGTTTGTGGCCATATTTTTTTCAAGTCCCTATTTCTTTAAAATTGAAAATAAATATACTGCGAAATCGTTAATAATGACCTTGAAGCAGTACACTTCATCGTTATAGACATCCACGGTCACTTTATTCATCCATCTTTGACTGTCAATAACTGTACTGGGCGTTATGTTGAAATCATACAAGAGTAATGAATAAAATTTAAGCCAAATGGACTGAAAAAAGTGCTTTATTAAAAAAAGAAAAACATACCAATATTATTTACTATTTGTAATATATACTTCTATGGACACATTTTTTTTTTTTTTATAAAGTAATCAACTTCTTAACAGTAATTCTATCTATAGATAAACGTCCGTTAGATCATTTTTCGATCTTAGTATGTAGAGTTCAGTCGAACATTAACTTTAAAAAAAAAAATTGTTGAATGTCAGCATCATGATAATTCTCTAAACTTAATTCCATTTGTTGGTTAACTGAAACTTCTTTAGTTAACCGTTAATCAAGTTTACCAGCAGCTTTACAGGTAATTTAGAAAAGAAAAACTTTATTTTTTCAGAAGCAGAATCTTTGCAGCCATCCTCACAAAATATTAGTTTGAAGTTCATCAAATGGATCGCGAATTGATTTTAAATAACCGTTAGTCTTTTTGAGTAAAATCTGTCCTAACCCTGACTGTAATATTGAGAAGAACCGATTTCTTCATTTGTAGATTTAGGTTTTATGGATTTAAAAGATTCATTGCGTTCAGAATACTGTCTCGAATAGACTTGAAATTTTTTCAAATTGTTGAAAAACTTAGGTTTATTTCTTGTGCCAGTTTTTATTTATTTATTTTTTGTGCCAGTTTTCTGTGCCTTTATTTCTACGATTAAACTCTTTCCTCTCCAGTTGGCAACATATATGGAATTTTCCTTCCAAGGAAAAACTTGTTACTCAAAAAGAATCTAATAAACTATTTATTATTCGAAACTCATTCAATTTAGTTGGAATAAATTTGAGAGAAATTTCTGCAAAATATTTAAATCTACTTTAAATTGTTCTCTTTACATATTACTACCAACCATGTCTTTGAATGCTTAACATTAAAATGGTATTAAAGTTAAAGTAATTTTATATTTGGTAATTAGAAAAATAAATACGAAGAGGTTAGCAAATCACTACTAATTTTTTAAGGATTTCCCATTGTGAATATAAAACTACTATGGAGGAAATGCCGGAAATAATGATTTTATACATTATATTTCTTGTTTAAAACAATTCTATATTGTTCTAATTTTTCTGTTTTAGGTTGATAAATTAGAAGAATCCGAAGCAAGAAGGTTAGAAGAAAGAGCAGAGCAAGATCATAAACCTATGATGATGCGTAAGTATTAATTATTAATCAATCGTGGTTTGTTTTTAAAATAATTCTTAATTAGTATGTTGAATAATTTCTATTCAACAAATGTGAGTATAAACCTAAAGTGGTGTATCTCAGAGAGTTGAGGCACTGTGCTCCTATTCTCAAGAAGTACTAAACCCAAAACTTTATGGGTTGTAGTGGTACATGTACATAAATTCATAAATGGTACATGGTACATGTGAACATAAATTTAACTAATGATTTAAAAACAATTATTTTTAGTTATTTTTTTATATTCCATAAGTTTTCATCAAAATATTCTTTTTTATTGCTCATTGGTACCCTATATGAACACTGCCCAATATGGTATAAAAAAAAAATTTAGCAAATGAAAGAACTTATATTTTAAGAAAAATACAAATCTGTTTTATTTATCACTATCACTTTTTCAATGTTCACTTTAAAACAATATATTATAATATTGATAAAATAGAAATATAGTATATTAAAAAAAAAATGTTAGTCTCATTATGAATTTAATTAAAACATATGTCTTGAATAGAGTGGTTTTATTTTGAGATTTACGGTTTGCATTTATTTTGTGTAAATGTGTGCTAAAATATGGTTTGCATAAAATAATATAAAAAATATGATATGAGCATAGATTGCAAAAAGAGTTTACTTTATATTACAGGCATTAGTTTAATTTGTAATTAATTAATTCGCAACACAGAGAAGTATTTTTCGTTCTTATGTGATAACAGGGAAATGTACAAGAATTTTTTCGGAAGCGCTGAACACCCTGTGTACCCTCTCTAGTAAAGCTTCATAGGCAAGTAAATCTTAGGATGCATGGACAATGACATTATTGTTAATGACTTCTTCTTTAGTATATAGTGTATTGCTGTTATGGTCCACATTTGAATCTGATTAAATTATTTACAAACTTCAGGAAATATGAAAAATTATTAGTTTAGAGATGGAGATATAATTGACTGGTAAAATTATAAGGGTGAAAAATAGTCAGGATATGCAGTTAATGTTGGTCATTAAGTTTGCCAACGTTGCTACCCAAGCATGTATGTCATCAGGGGTAAAAATTAAAAATATACAAAAACTACAATAGAATTTTTTACAGAGAGATAGTAACCCAAATATTTAGTGAGGGGTGAATCAAACCCAATCAAATGAAGAATAAAAGGGCCACAACTTAAAAACTGCTGTTTTTTTTTTTTTTTGTTAAACTATGTTTAAAGTTTTTTACAATTTTATTTTTGAGCCATAGTAACTTTAGTTTTACACTAAGTAATTCTATTTAGTTTTTTTTTTCAATTAGAAGAAACAATTTATTTTTTTCTGAAATTTTTGTGGTTGTGCCTCTTTAAATTTTTATGGAGTACTTATTTTTCAAGTTGAGTCTATTGTTACTTCTTTCTCTTGTCACTGAGTTTATGCTTAATACTTAACACAGTAAACTTCATCAAGGTTTGAAATTTGTAAAAGGAAGAATAGAAATTATCAGTAAACAAAGAGATTTTGTCACCTTAAATTAAAATAATATTGTTGCAGTTTATTGTAATTATTATTATTACACTTCTTTTGTTTTGGTAATGTTCAGTATTAATTTTGTTTTCTATATTGGTAAATTTTTTTTATTATGTTTATTTATTATGTAATAAAACCAACCACTCATATAGAAAGTACTATTCCGATAATCTGATCATATCCAGTAATCTGAATTCGCTTTAGAAAAAACAAATTTTAAGAAATCTCCTTAGCTCATGTATGTGCTCGAAAAACAAAAAGGAGAGTGATAGCATGAAGATTTAGTGTTTCGTTTCAATCACTGTATTCAATGGGCAACAGAGAATGATTTGTTGTCTCTTGTCACTGAGTTTATGCTTAATACTTAACACAGTAAACTTCATCAAGGTTTGAAATTTGTAAAAGGAAGAATAGAAATTATCAGTAAACAAAGAGATTTTGTCACCTTAAATTAAAATAATATTGTTGCAGTTTATTGTAATTATTATTATTACACTTCTTTTGTTTAGGTAATGTTCAGTATTAATTTTGTTTTCTATATTGGTAAATTTTTTTTATTATGTTTATTTATTATGTAATAAAACCAACCACTCATATAGAAAGTACTATTCCGATAATCTGATCATATCCAGTAATCTGAATTCGCTTTAGAAAAAACAAAGTTTAAGAAATCTCCTTAGCTCATGTATGTGCTCGAAAAACAAAAAGGAGAGTGATAGCATGAAGATTTAGTGTTTCGTTTCAATCACTGTATTCAATGGGCAACAGAGAATGATTTGTTGTCATGGCATATTGTTCTCTATTGCCCATTGAAGAAAGAGATTGAAATGAAATACTGCAACTTCATGCTTTATGTCATTTTGCTTTTAGTGTGCGTATAAGCTAAGAAAATTCCCGAACTTTTTCGTTATGAAAACAATATACTGTGGCAACAAGTAATTTCTCGACAGCATCTGATAAAAAAGTCATAGGAGAAGAACACTCAAAAGTCAAAATAAAAAAAATAAAAACTTATTTCCTTATACTAAAATACAAATCCAAAGTTTTAAATAAATATAAATTTATATATCCAGTTACTAAAGCTGTGTACATATTCATTGAGTTTTAAGTAGTTTTTCTAAACTCCCTCTGTAACTTAAAGTTGTTGGTAATCCAAATAAGTCCCTCATTGTTCCAATTACTGAGGTTGTTCTGTGATTGGAATCAATTTTTACTGTTTTTTTTTTTTTGTTTTTTTATATATTAGAAAATTATCAACTGCAAAAGAAAAACTAAAAAAAAAAAAATGAATTTATTATTATTAACTGTAAATATTTGGTTTTACATTATTGGATTTTGAGCTGTGCCCTTTTCATTCCTAAGAATACTCTTTCCAACTAGGCTGGAAAATAGGTACTTTTAGCATTCTGGTGGCTAGCTGTCATCAGAAACAAACAATTTTAAAACTTTGCTTTAAAACTCTTGTGAATCCTACTGTGCTACTTACTCAAAAACTACATTTTTATTTTTTTTTTTAGTTTTGTCTCTTTCATTCTAGTGTGTGATATATTTATGATGAGAAATCAAGGTCTCTGATTCATACAGCAGCACTGGAAGAATAATGGATTTGAAGAGTCAGAATTACATTTCTGTTTTCCTTGCTTGATCTCTCTGCCAACTAGGGTGGTAGATATTTGGTAGAATGCACCACAGGCCTTCCTCACACAATCCATGATCAAGATGATCTTCATCATCACCTAGCACCAAATTAAACTATAGGAGGTCTTCTTGTAGAATCTGAATGGAAGAGTATTACAATTCCTTTGGAAACTTCATTAATCAATTTCATGGCACTCATTAAGTTTATGGAGATTCTGTTATTCTAAGTTTTTTGTCTATGCAGTGAATCAAAAATCAAGAAATGGCAGATGAACAATATATCCTCTATCTCAGACCTTCTTGATGACTATTTTAAAAAATATATGGTCTTGAGTCTGTCGACCTGGCCTGAATACAGCTCTTGCAGCTCTTCTTTCATATCCTCTTCAATCAGTTTTCTTTGTATTAGTTCTAAGATTCTCATATATACTTTAAATATGACCCTAAATTTTAGGGTCGTATATATTTTAAATATGACCCTAAATTTTAGGGTTTAAATTTCATATATACTTTAAATATGATAAGGACTAACAGATTTTGTTTTAGTTGTCACAGCATCAGCATTTCTGGCCACCCACATAAGTTATTTTATTATGTTCCCATTCTATTGGCAAACAATATATAGCTATGTATTATTTAACTTTTATTTTGCATTATATTTTTAGTTCATTCATGTGGCTACGGTCAGTGAAATTCATTGGCTGGCGAGCACTTATTTGTCTAACTAGTGGCAAGCATTTTATTAACCAGAAATGTCAAAGTTGGTATCATATGAATAATTATTACGCTGTTTATTGTAATAAAGAAACTAAATTACTTATGAGAAACTACATTAATACTAGAACCCCCTATAGCTCACTTTATTTTATAATAGAGAAAATCAGAGCTTTATATGTCAAGTATCAATTTTTACCTCCTCTCAATTTATGAAAATAAAATATAGGTGATAAAAATAAATTATTAAATGCTTAGTTTTTTAAAATGAAAATCCTAATCAAGCTTAAAAAATGCTTCCCTTAAAACATTTTATGTGTTATTTAAAAGATTGATTTTTTTATTTAACTTAAATCATTTTGTAGTCAATCCCCTTTCATGTATAATAAATAAATTTAGTTATAAATTATAGATTTTTAATATTTTTGTCCCCAGACGTATTGGTCAGAGAAAACTTTAATCATTAAATCATTAGATAGGGAAAAGTCAGGGAATTTTACTTTAACTGTCTGGTGGCCACCCTCTTCACTTATAAAAAATAAAAACTTATCAAAATAATCAAATTTAGCCTGTCAATATAGCAACTGTATTAGAGAAATATTGAATGAAATAAAATTCAAAATATTACATAATATAAAATAGCTTAAGAAATAAATTCAATATTTGTAGGGATAAGGGATGATGTCATTGCCGGGGGCGCGGAATGTCTAGGGCTAGCACTGACCTCCAGTATTTCATTTCCATCTATCGCAGGATTGCCTGTATTTATAATATTTCTTGTTTTCTTACCTGACTTTTCACTGATATTTTTAACTGAATTTCAGGAGTTTTTGTTTATCTGGTTATAGATATCTATTTCTTTGCCAAATATACTGCTATATTGGACAGGTAACTTTTTGTGACTTATCCTTTCCAGTCTGATTTCATATGTTCCCTTTTTATCTTTTATTGCTTGGGAAACATCTTCTATCGTTCAACCATTTGGTTCTCTTGGTTTCCATACAGATCCTCTTTCATTCACTATTTCAGCTCCTTAGTGTATACTTCTCTTTATGTTTTGCTATAACTTGTCTACATTCAGATTAGTATCAAGCAGTTCAATCCTTAATTCTTCCCCAAATAGGGTTTCTTTTCCTCTTGTCGCAATAGTGCTCCCTCCTCCTTTTTCTTCATTTGGAACCTTCGGTGTGTGCAAAAAACATTCGAAGATCTGCCTCATTAATCAGTGTTAATGTTTCCTATCCTTCTTTGTGCCTTAAATGTTACTTATTGTATTTTTTTATGATTAAATAAGTTTCCAAATCTTTTTTAATACAGAACTCATATCAGCCTCTGGTTATTTTTTCACATTTTCTCAACCTCATATCTCTATAACATTGTAGGAAGGTAGACAACACAGAGGTTCCAAAATCTCATCTACATAGCGAATGGCCGTCAAAGACCCTCCTAATCAACAACTAATTCTGTGTGGTGCTCCATTGAAATCCCAGCCCACACCATTAAGGAACCACGTTGGAAAGGGCTCTGGGAAAAATTACAGGCTGCATATCTTTTGTTTCTTCTCCACACCCTTTCACGCCCGTCTGGAGATCGAAGAGCGAATCTTGACTCGTCTGTAAAAAGTACAGCACTCCATTCGTCCCTAGTCCAATGGCTGTGTTCTCCAGCAAAAGCCAGCCGTGTTACTCTGCGAGTTCTGGTCAACTCTTGTCCTCTTACTGGACGAAAATTCATTAATCCAAACTCATTTAATCTCCTTCGAGTGGTAGTTTGAAATTTGTACACCTCGAACTTCTTCGAGCTGATGAATCGCTTGAACAACGGTAAGGTGCCAGTTTCGTAAAATTCTCAAAGTCAAATACCGGTCATCCCGTGGTTCTGTTACCCTAGGCCGTCCAGAACCGGGCCTTCTATTGTAAGAATCAGTTTCCCGAAAACTAACAAAACTTCCGAAAAACTCTTAAAGTTTCATATGGAAATGTGATGGCATTAGCTGCATATCTAATGGAACGTCCATCATCAATAAGTGCCACACCAAGCTCAACATCCTCAGCACTAAGAGGCATTTTTAAACTTAATATAGAAAAAATTAAAAGCCGGAGACTAAGAAATGTGCTGCAAGAAACGACACTGAACTAATGATACTGAATAAACATTTTGATTCCATAGAAAGTAAACATTGGAAATTAGAATCATTTCATTGTATTAGGGATTAAGGGTTATTGTCCTCTATATTAACATTCCTAATTGAAAACAAACAAAAAGATTACCTATTTATTCATTAAAAACAATAGACCAATCCAAAGCAGAAATATTTTCAGATGAAAACATGAAAAAATCAAGTGGGTGGAATTTTTTGCCTGTCAGTGTATTATTATAAATCCTGTGATCAGACACTTAGTGCCACTTTCTTTCTTTATGCAAACTAAAAATTCTTATGCAAGAATAATTAAAAGCTGTTACTTTGTTTAACATATATGTTTTAGGCTTTTTTTTTTTTTTCGTAATGACTTAATAAACTTTTAACTATGTTAAAATTATTCCTAGTAAATAAGTATAAGTAGCATTATTTTATTTATATTTAATCTATCCTTTTTTTTTCTAGCGGAGCCCCAACTAATGTTAACTGCTGGCCCAGGAATGATAGGACCTGGTTTTTCTCCTGCTTATCCTAACACTTTTACCACTGGCATGCCTTATCAAGGTTATGGCATGTAGGTAATATCAAATGTGATCAACTCCTCCGTATTATGCAACTAAAGTGAATGGTCTAACATCCATCCAGCCTAATGAAAACTGATATGTATGTGAAATAAGAAATAAATCAGTCTATAGTTGCTATAGAGGTTGTTTTTGTTTTATCAACACATGATCTAATTCAAGGCCTCTTATACTGTGGTTCTGTCTTCATTAAAAAATAAATTGTATAAAGTTTAATACTGCCTTCATAAGTGTGCTTTTAATGAATATCATGCGCATATAAACTTTGTAAAAATCTATATGTATGTTATGATATTTCTGTTGATATTCATAAAACTTATTTAGTCCTGGATGGTAAAGTTAGCGTCAACTTATGATTAGTTAACGGATATTCTATTCCGTTACTACATATATTTTTTATAGTATTTAATGAATTTGTTAACTATTTAAGTTTATGTTATGCATTCCATTTCTTCACACATATACACATACATAGACTCACATTTACACATAATGTGTATGTGTGTAATTATGTGTTCTAGAGAATAGAAACACTAACTATTTATTGTGGTATTATATTGTTAGCTTGTGTGAATATTTGTTTTATTAGTAAAATGATTTACTGCTACATTTGAAAAATTGTTTATATATTTAAATTATGAGTTTATCTAATTTTTGTGTTTCAATGCTATGTTACTTTTTTTATTAGTTATCTCTTGAATTACTATGTTATTTAGGTGTATTATTATTAGTACCAACATGCAAAATATGCACTATAGTTCAACATAATAAATAGACCTTATGGAAATATGTAAAGATTGAAAAATATACTCTCTATTATTAGAATCAAATTGTATTAAAAAAAATATATAAGTAATTGTTAATGGTTATTATATCTTATGGATGTAATGAGTCCAAAGAGGAGAAAGATCAGTTATGTAGAGCAACTCTCTGGCTTCATGTCCAGATATGTTTTTGTATCATATAATTTACATTGCTTTCATTGTGTTTTTGTTTTCTTTTAAAGTATATAAATGTTTGCTGGATATGAAGATAGAGTCAAAAGTTGAATTTAATAATTATTTTAATTTTATAATTTAATTTTAAAAAATAAATACACATTATATTTTGTTTATCAGTGGGTAGAGTAACTTGATTTATTGGCATGTGCCTTATTTAAATGGACATTTATTCCATCTTATGATGGGTGTGAATATCATAAAACCTGCATAACGTTTATTATTAACATCATGAAGAAATTACTCTCATTTTATTTTTAAATAATATTATTTATGCAATGCATTAAAAAAGTAAAAAAATAATTTATTTTCATTCATTAAAATTTTAATTGATTATTTGTTTCAGTTAAAATCCATTATTTTTGTCATCCCATTTGTCTTGTGATTATTAACCTTCTTATTTTAAGATATCATTACTTGATTACTATTGTTACATCACCCTTTGGAATGAATATAATACAAAGGATGTAGCAATGTGCCAAAAAATTAAATACCATATATGAATATGGCTAACAAAAATTAAATGTTAAGATATATAATATCTTCCCATTCTATCTGTAGTTATTTTAAGAAATAGAACATTCACAGAAATTCTTTCCCTTGCTTTTTTTTTTTTTTTTTTTTTATTGAATTGAATGTGATGAGAAACTATTTTTTAGTTTATTTAAAAAAAAAACATTCACTATTTGTGATTTTTAAAAGAATATTTAAATGAAAGTTAGTATAAATTATAGCTTTTAGTTATTTAGGCAATAATCTGGTTTTGTCATTGTATTAATGTCCAATTTTACAAAGAAAATACATAGTTAACATTTATCTTTTGAGTATATCATGAGAAAGATTTTCTTTGATTGAGTGGCCTATTGTATATTTAAATTTTATTGGTTTTTAATAATGTTGCACTTTTTGCATTTATAATTGTTAATGTTTCTGACCTGGGATTGGGCTTATTTTACGTGGTGATAGGAAACAAAAGCTATTGGATGTACATATTTTAATGTTTTCAGCTCAAATTTTTGTTTTATGATTATTTTTTACTCTTTTATCTTTTATCTCTTGATTATGACAGAGTTTAAATGAAAAAAATGATCTGACAAAGTGGACATGAAGTTTTATTTTTTAAATTTTAATTATCTATAAAGAAATTGATTGTAATTTATGAATCATCCGCCATTTTTTGCTTTTCAATGGTTATCCCAATCAAATGAATGTTTGATAAGCAAAGTTTTACTGTATTTATTCAACATCAATATAGAATGGTTAATCATAATAATAAAAGGCTTAGAGCTTGAAGGTTCAGTGTTGATACCACTAATCTCTGTCTTCATACCTTCGTTTACCAAACCATGTCTAAACCCCTATCTACTAGAATAGCATTAGTACAATCCTTCCATCTATGTTTCAGTCTACCCCGCCCCCCCAGATTTTTGCCATTGTGTATAGCTTTAGCACTAATTACCTTTTTGGGGATTAATTCCTAACTTTACATTCCCATTTCAACTGTAGTTAAAATTACAGCTGTTATTATTGCAATCATATTTACACAGGGAAAGCTCTGTAATGCCACATTGTGAAACCTGAATTCCCCAGTGGATTCATCTTTCTTATTTATTAATAAGAATTATTTTGATCCTCCCTTTAAAGCTTACTCCTTTAAAGCAAATAAACTCAGATAAGAACTATTTTAATTCCAGATTGCAAAATTTTATACTAATGGCTACGTGCTATTTTTTAATGGTATTAATTTTCATTTCAGTACATTAATTCAACAATTTTCTGTAACATATTTTGCCTTGTGTACTAGGTACTTTCAGGTTTTCAGTCAAAGTGACTTATGAAAAACAAAAAAATGAAGTTGTTTTTTTTTACTGGCTGACGTTTAAAACTGATAGATGCGTTCCATCAGAGCTATAAAAGGTCAGACATATGTATTAATAATAACCTGAAGGTTCTTTGCCGATACCAGTAATCTCTGTCTACACACTTCCCTCCACCAGTCGTCATACAAACCCAGTCCCTTCAGATCAGCCTTAACGCAATCTTCCCACCTTCGTTTCGGTCTACCCCTCGGACGTTTACCAGTCAGTACTTCTGATGGGATCGGAACAAATTTAAACAAAGGATTCATGGCGGAGTTGTATTGGGCTGCCAGGAGCCGAATGGCCTGAAAAGGGTCATATATTTTATTATTCAGAATTTCATCCCCTATTTTAAAGTTATTATCGTAGACTCTAAATACCTAAACTTCCCTACATGTTCAAACTTATTATCTTCTGTATTGATATCACCGGCAATATCTTCATTTTTGCTGCTAACCATATATTTTTTCTTATCCGTGTTTATTTCGAGCTACAGTTCTTTTCCAGCTTTCATTGATGGTGTATTTAGTTTTATAGTTTCCATATATTCGCTTAACAGGGCCATATCATCCGCATAACGAAGCACGGGTGTTTTCCCACTCAGATCCCTATTTTGGTACGGATTGTGACTAAAACAAAGCAGACAAAATATACAAAGAGGGAATATAAAAACAAAAAAATTATGAAATAGAGTTCTGGGAGGTCCTGAAATCTTATTATTCCCATTTTTCGAGGAGGATGCCAAGTATTAATACAGTGTCAGCTACTAGTTGGTGCCTTTAAAAAAAATAAAAATATATATATATATATAAATCATAATAGATGTAAATCGTGATTCATAACCAAACGATTATGCTTTTACTTTTGCTAACTTTTCAATACTTATTAAAATCTAGAGTGGGTAGGTGTGTAAACAGAAATATTTGTTAGAAACGTCCGCAGAACTACATTTTGATGTGGAAGTCGCTCTTGTGCTACTCAAACTGTTAAACCTTTCTTTTCACGTAAAGTAAACATTTAAATTTGATTGGTTGGTCAAACCCACTAACATATTGAGCCCCGTTTCAGAGAAATTTATTCAAAGTAGTCTTAAGGTCAGATAAGCAATTACACAAGGCTGCTTTAGTTAAAACTGCAGCCAGGGCCGTCGCCTGGTTTGTGGGGCCATGGAACGAAATTTCTCTGTCACCACCTCCCTCCTCCCAACTCTGTACCTTTCTTATTCCTTCCTCCTTTCCTTCCCTCCCCCCTCCTCCGATCCCTTTCTTTCCTGTCCCATCTCTTATATTGACTAGTAGCCAACTTTGTCAAGTTTACGAGTTTTATGGTTTTGCACTTCTATCAATGGTCAATAAATGAAAGCTGGATATTAATAATAAGATAAATGCTAATAAAATATACATATATTTCAGGTTATAAATATTTATTAACAGATATTATTGTCAATCACAGGCGGATCTATGGGGGGGGGAGGGGCTTTCGGGCTGAAGCCTCCCCCTCCAAAATGGTAAAATACAATCATGTTTTATGAAAAAAGTTATCTCTTAAAGTATTACTGTTCGTGTAATTACATTTAATAGGACTTCAAGAGTCACTTAAATACCATTTCGTATAGGTAGTTAGTTCCTTTCTTTTTCTTCCAAAGTAATTATCGTTATTGAAGAGAAGTATGGTTGGTGGGATCATTCAAAATAAAAAATAGAAATAAATAATTATATTTGCCGATGTTTCGGCCCAAAGTTCAGGCCTTCATCAGAGCTAAAGAACCAGATAACAATAGATATGAGAAACTATGAACATTTAATAATAAAGAACTAAAATTATAAAAGTGAAAGGCATAGACTAAAAAATTGTAGGTAGAAAAAACTTAGAGTAAAATGAAGTAGATAGAGTGAACATTAAAGTAAAATAAAGTAGATTGAATAATAACAATAACAGAGAACTAAGAAATAAATAATAATCACGGAAACAAAGTAGGGACTAATGAAATAAATATAATCAAAATAAGGTAGTAATGAAAAATAGTTATCTTAGAATAAAATGTAAAATAATGAAAAGGAATATGAAATTATTTAAGGAAATAATATATATATATATATATATATATATATATATATATATATATATATAGACAATTGAGATATTGTAAAATCTATCAAAATATACTGACTACATATAAAAGAATAAAAAGTTAAAATAATGTAAAAAATATAAATGAGCAAATCTATCAATATATAAAAAACAGAGATGGAGATATGGAATATAGAGTGCCTGGAAGGGGGACAAAAGGGAGAAAGCTAAGATAAGAAAGATAAATGAACCTGTTCCAAAAGCATGGAAAGACAGAGGTATTGTAGCAAGAAAGGGGAAGCTATTATATTTCGCCAACTGTAACGTTTGACTGGAAAATACCAACTAAAGCACAGGAAACGTGTATAATGGACGAGAGATATATTATAGATAAATTCTATGAATTATTAAATACAAATTTAATTGAAAGAGGATGGAAATTCTATATTATATTATTATCATGCATTATCTTTAATATATACTATATTACAGTACACTAGCGGATCCAGGATTTAATTTTGGGGGGGAGGGCTTCAGCCCGAAACCTGTTTTTTTATCATAAAAATAACGATAATTACTTTGGAAAAACAGAAAGAAACTAACTACCTATATGAAATGGTATTTAAGTTATTCCTTAAGTACTTTTAAATGTAATTACATGAACAATAGGAACCGAGAAAAAAAAATTATTTTTTTTATATTACGTACTGTTTTCTGACTCTCTGAATGGATTTTTATGTTATTATACAATAATCTTTTTTTTTTGTATAAAATAAATAAATCATATTGCTCATTGTATTCAACGAATTCTAATTATCTAATAGACCCCCTACCGTGCACCCTCCCCCCTCCCCCACATCCCTATAAATTGCATTTCGTTGTGTTCCTTGTAACTATTTATTTAAAAAAAGCCAATGTTCCCACAAAAAAAGTGAACGCACTGCCATAAAATGGCGTCCAAAGATGGCGAATTGACGACTTTGACTTTAGTTAGTTTTTTGGTCACTGAGAATCAGCACTTGGCTTAATTTGCTCATGGTTGGTCTTTTATTAAAGCTGAATTGTCAGAGAATAACAAAACATGAACAAATATTAAAAAATAATTGGCTTAGACAATAAAAAAACACTAGTAAAGTCAAAAATTTTAACAAATAAATTTTCAAGTTGAAAATCAAGCATTGTTTGTAATTAAACGACCAACAATAACGCAAAATTTGCTGAAATAAAACACCTGGAGAATATATTTCTCTTTCTAAAACACTGATTACTTTTTAAAATATTTGAAGTAGTTCCGCATAACATGCACTTATGCGGGAGAAAAGCGATGCCGGCGTAGGTGCCTACAAGCCTCTACCACTCCAGTCTGTACACATAAATGGCTTAGTTATAGGGATATAATAACGTTTTTTGTACATTATATTGGTTTTATCAACGAAAAAATATTAATGCAATCATTTAATTGTCAAAAAAATTAAACAATTTTTTTAAAAATTTATTATTTTATTTTCTTATTTAACATATTTTATTCTATACGGAGGTCGTTTAAGTAGATATATATTGTAAAAATGACATTATTATAATGACAAAACTTAATTAAAAAATACTTTGCTGAATATCTTGAATTGCGAAAGGGCAGGAAACAAAGTGAGCATTGAGGTTATCAGCAGAAACGGAAATGGACTGGGACTGAGATGTATTGCCAAAGGTCAGTTTTCTAAGAAGAGCTCACGTAGCCTTGGTACACGGTGGGCCAGACCCCCTTACCATGCACCCCCCCCACATCCCTATAAATTGCATATCGTTGTGTTCCTTGTGACAATTTATTAAAAAAAAGCCAATGTTCCCACAAAAAAAAGTGAACGAACTGCCCCAAAATGGCGTCCAAACATGGCGGATTGACGACTTTGACTTTAGTTAGTTTTTTTGTTACTGAGAATCTGCATTTGGCTTAATTTCATTATATTTGTTCTTTTATTAAACCTGGATAGTCAGAGAATAATAAAACATGAAAAAATATTAAAAACTAATTGGCTTAGGCATTAAAAAAAATCGGTAAAGTCAATCTTTTTTACAAAAAAATTTTCAAGTTGAAAATCAAGCGTCGTTTGTAATTAAACGGTCAACAATAATGCAAAACGTGCTGAAATAAAACATCTGGAGAATACATTTCTCTTTCTAAAACAATGATTACTTTTTAAAATATTTGAAGTAGTTCCGTATAAAATGTACTTAAGCGGCAGAAAAGCGCTATTGGCGTGGGTGCCTCAGGCCTCTACCACACCACTCAGTACTCATAAATGGCTTAGTTATAGTGCTATAATAACGTTTTTGTTATATTGTATTGATTATATTAACGAACAAATATTAATACAATAATTTAATTGTAAAAAATTATTTTTTTTAAATTTATTATTTTTGTTTTTATTTTTTATTATTTTTTTTTTAAAATTTAATTTCATTTATTCTATACGGAGATCGCTTAAGAAGGCCTCTATTATAAAAATTATAAAATTATAATAATAAAACTTAATTCAAAAATACTTTGCAGAATATCTTGATTTTTTTATTTAATATTTGCAATTTAACATTTTGTTTTATATATTTACTGATTCTTAGAGGTAATTTAAATTGTATATACTTCCCCGGAAATGAGTCATATTAATATCTGTTTTATAAACTAAAATAATATATACCTAATCTGAACTGTTTTTAATGAATAGGTGATGGATTGTTTAGTAAAATTGTTATATCGCTATTTAAAAAACCATTTTTATTTCCTTTATTTTATTCGGAAGTTGGACCATATCATAAAAAATTGGAACTTTTAATATTAAAGTGCATTATTCCCTCTGCACAAAAGAAATATGGAAAGGGCGAAGCTATAAGTTCTTATAGGTAACTGGAACTGATTGTTAGTATTTGGTCTCAAAATAAGGGAAAACGCGAAATTGAACCCAAACATTGGAAAAATACATTAAGCGAACGACAGTGCCAAAATTTCGGAAAAGAAAACAAGGATCAGTATCCATTATATGGCTAAACGAATATATAGTAGACAGATGAACATAATATTTCAAGATGCTGCTAAAAGAGGGTAAAAATGCTTGATGGGTTTGGATGATGTTAAGTAGGTTTATTATGGTGAAGAACACTTTTTTCAGCAAGAAAGATTTGCTCTAAGCAATTGGCAAGCAGGTCTGGAGGAAGTAAACGAGGTTGATAATGGTGTAAACCACTTTATTTTAGATTGCTATTGAAGTTGTACATTGGGACTATCTTCACTTTGAAGCAGGTTATACAGAGGTTTATCGATAAAAGGAAATAGCTCTGCTCCTGTTTAGTGCAATTGCAAAAGATTTTTGAAGGAATCTGAAAGGAAAACGAGCTTTTGTGAAAGACTAGTAGATATTCGATCAATCCAAAGTGTGAGGCACTAAGCAGATAGAGAACCATTTTTCTTTCTCTGTGGACTTCTCTATAACCTACCTTAAAGTGAAGACAGTCCCAATTTGCAACTTATGTTCCAATGTGCAACTTGAGTTTCTCAATCCATATCGCTCAGGCAATCGACAATATTTCTAATTTTAGCTTATACGATTCTTGAGTAGACTTTCTTTGGTACTATAAACAGTAAGGAATCTCGAATAACATTTCCTAGTATCTCATTTCCTGTAAAGGGACAAAACTACAGTCCTTTCATATAATTTTCTAATACATTTGTGGCCTTTGTACGCACAACATTTCGGGTTACTTCGTCCAGACCAGCTGACTTGCCAATTTCCTAGAACAAATCTTTCTTGCTGATGAAATGGTCTTCACCATAATAAACCTACTTAATATCATCCAAACTGATCAAGCATTTTTACCCCCTTTTAGCAGAATCTTGAAATATTCTGTTCATCTGTCTACTATATATTCGTTTAGCCATATGATGGATACTGATCCTTGTTTTCTTTTCCGACATTTTGGCACTGTCGTTCGCTTAATGTATTTTTCCAATGTTTGGGTTCAATTTCGCGTTTTCCCTTATTTTGAGACCAAATACTAACAATCAGTTCCAGTTACCTAGAACTTATAGCTTCGCCCTTTCTATATTTCTTTTGTGCAGAGGGAATAATGCACTTTAATATTAAAAGTTCCAATTTTTTATGATATGGTCCAACTTCCGAATAAAATAAAGGAAATAAAAATGGTTTTTTAAATAGCGATATAACAATTTTATTAAACAATCCATCACCTATTCATTAAAAGCAGTTCAGATTAGGTATATATTATTTTAGTTTATAAAACAGATATTAATATGACTCATTTCCGGGGAAGTATATACAATTTAAATTACCTCTAAGAATCAATAAATATATAAAACAAAATGTTAAATTGCAAATATTAAATTAAAAAAATCAAGATATTCTGCAAAGTATTTTTGAATTAAGTTCTATTATTATAATTTTATAATTTTTATAATAGAGGCCTTCTTAAGCGATTTCCGTATAGAATAAATGAAGTTAAATTAAAAAAAAAAAATAATGAAAAATAAGAACAAAAATAATAAATTTAAAAAAAAATAATTTTTTACAATTAAATTATTGTATTAATATTTGTTCGTTAATATAATCAATAAAATATAACAAAAACGTTATTATAGCACTATAACTAAGCCATTTATGAGTACTGAGTGGTGTGGTAGAGGCCTGTAGGCACCCACGCCAGTAGCGCTTTTCTGCCGCTTAAGTACATTTTATACGGAACTACTTCAAATATTTTAAAAAGTAATCAATGTTTTAGAAAGAGAAATGTATTCTCCAGATGTTTTATTTCAGCACGTTTTGCATTATTGCTGACCGTTTAATTACAAACGACGCTTGATTTTCAACTTGAAAATTTTTTTGTAAAAAAAATTGACTTTACCGATTTTTTTTAATGCCTAAGCCAATTAGTTTTTAATATTTTTTCATGTTTTATTATTCTCTGACTATCCAGCTTTAATAAAAGACCAACTATAATGAAATTAAGCCAAATGCAGATTCTAAGTAACAAAAAAACTAACTAAAGTCAAAGTCGTCAATCCGCCATGTTTGGACGCCATTTTGGGGCAGTTCGTTCACTTTTTTTTGTGGGAACATTGGCTTTTTTTTAATAAATTGTCACAAGGAACACAACGATATGCAATTTATAGGGATGTGGGGGGGGTGCACGGTAAGGGGGTCTGGCCCACAGACTATGGTATTAGAGGAACTGGATAAGAAATGATAATAGTAATGGGATTTGTCACGGCGTATTGTTTTTTAAGTGCTGTTTCGAAGCTGTTTGAAGTAGAGAAAATCTTCAGGAAGTCGAGTTCGTTTAAACCGTCGCCTTGCAGCATATCTCTTTCTCTCATAAACTTTCTCAAAGCAGAAGTCAACCAAGAAACGGGCTGATGTTGGATGGTTTTTGTGATAAGAGGGCATGTCGGTCGAGTATGGGAGTGAAAATGAATGATAAGGGTTTCTACCATGGTGTCGATGGATTTTGAGGAGTAAATGGGATCCCACTGTGCATCGTTATGATCTTTGGACAGTGTTTCGTGAGAGAATTTAGGTTTCGGAGGGATATCGTTCGGGGAGAAAAGGATTGGACAGGGATATTGTAAGAAATATGGATAAGATCGTGGGAAGATATGCTCTCATTACAATATTTACATTTGGGTAAGTATTTCTGTGTGACGAGGAAGGAGTGAACCAGTCTCGTGTGACCTATTCTGAGTCGAGCCAGTAAGACCTCCTCTGTACTACATTTACGGCTGGAGGTACCCCAGGGCTTCAGGTCTTTTTTATAATTTTTAGCTTACTTGTAGGAATTTTATCCCACATGGACTGCCATCCATCTTTATTTTCTTTTTCGACAGGCTTGCTTAAGTCTGATGGGGTTAAAATAGTTTTACTCCGTTCAGGGTGCGTTAGCGCCTCTCTTGCAGCTCCATCGGCCAGCTCATTTCCTAGGATTCCAACGAGACTTAGAACAACATAGATCTTACTGTTATTCCTACGTTTTGTAAAATGGTTAGATAGGAGATAATGCAGGACATTTTTGGATGTTCCGAATACTTACAATCTAGGCCCTTTATCTAGCTTAAAGAGTCTGTAATTATTTGTATATTGTGATGATTTAAAGACATACATAAATAAAGCGCTGCCGCAATCTCATTAAGTGCGGCAGTTCATATGTTGCATAGTTTGTGAAGTTTAATTTTATGTGTTGAATTTTTCGTTATGAAAGATAAGTCTATTGATTGGTTCGATTTAGTGAGCCAGTATAGAAAATAGCATTTTACTAAGGCTGTTATGGATTTCGACTTCGTAGCATTACTTTAAAGCTCTTGATTTATAAACTTATCTTTAAGTAACCTAGCATTATACATTGATCCTGTTAGCTTAGTTTTATATAAAGTTATTATACTGATTATTATTCAAAAAATGTCTGACAACTCCGAAGATAGATTAAGATTTCAAGTTGAATTGGAATTCGTTCAATGTTTGGGCAATCCAAATTATCTTAATTTTCTTGCTCAAAGAGGGTATTTTAAAGACCAGGCTTTCGTGAATTATTTAAAATATTTACTTTATTGGAAAGAGCCGCAGTATGCCCATTTTTTGAAGTATCCAATGTGTTTGTATTTCTTAGACCAACTTCAGTATGAACATTTTCGAAGAGAACTGGCCAGTGCTCAGTGTGCTAAGTTCATAGATGATCAACAAGTTTTGTTATGGCAACATTATACAAGAAGGAGAACAAGACTTCTTCAAGAGCATACTGAAACTCCTAATAATACTCCCAATAATGTTAACAGATCTCAGCAATCAAATGGTAAGATTTTTCTATGACTCTTATGTTTCTTCATGATTAAAAGATTTGATCTTAGATGATATGGGCATGTGTATTTATATATTTAAATAATCTAAGGTAACCAAAGTATTAGTTAGTTTGAAACATAATTTATTTGATTATTTATAAATATATGACACTATTAAATTTTGAGTAGGGTACATTTTAATTCTATCTGCAGTTTATTTTTAAATAATTGCATCCTATTCAGGAAAAAAAAATACTGTGCATCAATGACTTTTGTCCATTGCTGTTATATATATATGGAGTGAGAGAGAGAGACAAAATTGGTATGTATTTATCTGTGATAAACCTAATGTTTCTTTCTAAAATTTACAGTTAACATAAAGAAATCTACCGATTTCTTTAATTATTTTCATGAAAACGTAAATATTATGGGCTAGAAACATTAAATTAGGCACTTACAAATACGCATAAATTCCTGGCAGAAATTGGGGGAAGAAACACAATTTCTTAACCACCTTACATGAAAAATATTTGAAAATCATTTTCATTTTTATGAATATACTATGTTTTTAGGCAATTATATTTATTGCTATCCTGTATCCCAGAAAAACAAGATATAATATCTTTACAACAATTAATTGTTGTCATTTTTTCTGAAAACACAAGTACTTTTAGGTGACTGGATAGAAAATTACATCATTTCTTAACACAGCTTAAAGAGAATCTCAAAAGTTGTCCCAAATAGACATAAACTTAAATACGCACTTCAAGCTTATTAAACGAGGAAGTTTTTCTGAAAGTGGGATAATTGTTGTACAGTTGAAGGGTGATAAAAATAAATCAAATAATTTATGACTCTTTTTTAAACGAAACTTAGCTAAGTTTGTCGACTGAATAGTCCTCTTTAAATGGTTTCAACAATCACAAACTGTACTTTCATTTTAAGTAAATTTTGTCTAGTTTACTATGGAGAAATGTTTAATTACTTAAATCAAATATTTTTCTAGTTATCACGTCAAATTCAACAAAAAACATGACTTGCTTAAAAAACACATTAAATTTCCTACTTTTCTGCTGGAAATTGGCCTATTGTTTATATGAACTTTTTTGTAGATCTTGATGCCTGCTATCAACCTTTTAAATATTTCTCTTTACTTACGGCACACCCTGTGTAAACGGGTTAATAATAAAACCGTGTTTTTTTTTTTTTTTTTAAATAAAATCTCTATTATAGATATTGATCCGTATTTATAAACCACCAACTAAATGTTTCCAATCCTAATATTTACATTTAAGATAAAGAAACCTGATGATTACTTCAATTATTCTTCACAAAAACGTAAATATTAGGCTTAGGAACATTTATTTTGCCACCTGAAAATATGGATCAATATCTATAATATAGATCTTGGTTAAAAAACAGTTTGATTATCACTTAAGATGATAAATATTTGAAAACACATTTATTTTAACTTCTTTTTTTAATAAATAAACAAAAGTGTACTATTTTATATATACAGGGTGTCCTGTAAGTAGAGGAAAATATTTAAATGGTTGATAGCAGACATCAAGATCTACAAAAAAGTTTATATAAACAATTGCCCAATTTCCAGCAGAAACGTAGGAAATTTAAGATTTGTGTTTTTTTTTTAATGGAGTCACGTTTTTGTTGATTGGGAAGCATTGACTTAAAAAATATTTAATTTAAGAAATTCAATATTGCTCCATAGGAAATTAGACAAAATTTACATTAAAATATTGTGGCCCATGAATCTTAGTAAAGATCTCTATGTAGCCCGCCGGTCAAAAAGTTTAGAGATCTCTGTGTTAGACAGTTGCGACAATTTAACCTAAATAATTAATTCTAGCGATTGAGTTATAAATATGGCACAAAAATGTTTGGAGGCCGCAGGTCCCACCTATGGTATATACTCTTGATTATGAAAGGCCAAAAAAACTATGGCTGTATGTTTAAATACATATTGTTAAGACTGTATTTCAAAAGAACAAGTCTGATTATAAAATAACAAAAAACATACATATTGAGTAAACACAGCACAGGTTAAATTTATAGAGAATGACAAATTCCTTATTTACAATTTAATTGATAGAGATTAACTATCAGGAAATTTTCAATATAAAAATAGTATTTTTATTGGAGATAAAGAGAGGGGTAGTGTAAATGAAGAAAACAAAAGTAGAACTTCTTTTGTCTTTATTGTTAAATTTGTATCTGCCACAATAAAATAAAAGTAAAACAGATGTTTTCCTGATCTAATTGTTGCAGGTAATAATTCATAAGTTTTATATCTGGTTGACTGGTGAGTCATGACCTCATTGTCATGGAATCCTGAAACAGTCAAGTGTGCCTGACAGTATATACTATATATATATTATATATATATATATATATATATATATATATATATATATATATATATATATATATGTATATATATATATAATTTTTTCATTTTTTTTCATTGGTGCAACAGACCATGAAGATCTTTGGCCGCAAGATGTGGTTTACCTACAGATATATATTGCTTGTGGGTGCACAGACAGCCTGGAGGGGATCGCCCAACCTGTTGCTACGAACCATGGTTTCCATGGTGCAGCAGCAGGTCACCTGTAGCTTCATAGCCGATCCTTTTGGGGCCAATCTGGCAATTAGTGTCCTTCCCACCGACTCACTCGGGGACAGTGACAGATCAGTCTAGATTCATGAATTATGGCTGCTTAGAGTCAGCAGGCGCACAAGGACCTATATTTCTTTCCCCGAAACAGAATGTCCATAGACCAAATCTCAGGGAGCTACTGACATCCTGGTAAACCACATCCCAATTCCCGATTTAAGTATAGAGTAGGGTCATCAGCCATACGCCTGGTTAGTGTGAGTTACCTCCTGTAGACTGATGGGCCTTAAGTAAGCAGGGGGGGAAGTATCGGGTAGCGTGGCTTTCTCTGGTGGTCGGTCACCCAAATCGGGTGTTCACCCATCCAAGTACTAACCATGCTCGACATTGATACATATATATATATATATATATATATATATATATATATATATATATATATATATATATATATATATATATATATATATATATATTGTATACAAAGGATGGTTGGGGTGATCAGTCAGAAATAAAAAGGCAAAAATAAATAATAATACTTATTTTACAATTTTTCCAACATTTACCACAACCATACCCATACCCATAGACAATGCACTTACTATAGTAGACGACAAGTGACCTATCATTGAACCCCACACCTCACTTAACCGCTCCTCATATCTTGAATTCCTTCATATATTTTGTGTCAGGCTACCTCACTTTCCAAGGACAATTTTTCTAACCAAATTTCCGGGCTAGCAAACCCCCTCGCTTTTGACATCTCCAACATCTTTCTAAATGACCATTATCCCTCTTTACCCGGACGATGTCATCTTTATCCGAAAATACATAGACGACCTCCTCCTAATCCTCAATCCAAATAAAATTTCCGATATCCTATCAGCCTTTAATTCTTACTAACCCCACTTCAACTTTACAGTATAACACGAAATAAATAATTCTCTCCCTTTTCTCGATCTTCTCATCATTAAGAATCCCAATAACACCATATCCACAGACTGGTACACTAAACCAACTCACACAGGCAGACTTCTAAATTTCCATTCCAAACATCCTTACCACCAAAAAATTAATGTTGCTAAAAATATCATCCACTCTGATTCCCAATTTCATGTAACCAATATCCAATGCATAAAACAGATCCTGTCAAACAATAATTTTCGTCTCCATGTCATCAACAAACTTATAAAAGACCACAATAATCGCTCTTCCTTAATCTCAACTTCCACTAATTCTCCACAACCCATTCCGGTCTCCATATACAGATCTCTACCTTATATTCCTAACCTTTCTGACAACATAAACAATGTTTTACGATCTACTAACCCTAACTTATGACTTGCATTCAAATCTCACAACACACTTTCTAAATTATACACATCCCTAAAAGATCCTGTTCCTCTCTCACACCGTTCTCATATTGTTTACCGTATTCCGTGCTCTACTCTTAATTGTTTTTCATCCTACATTGGTGAAACCAAAAATCTTCTAAAAGACCGCATCACCCAACATAAATATTCTGTATCCTCTCATAATTTTACTGCCTTCAAATTATCCGAACATTCTCTCTCCCTTAACCATACATTTTATTTCAACAAAACTTCCATCCTTGCCACCATCCTTAACCATGGCAAACGACTCATTTCTGAAATCCTTCACATCCAGCTCCAACCAAAAACAGTGAATCTAAAAACAAACAAACAAAACTTATCCTTAGCCTCTTCCCAAATTCTGAATTTATTAAAACATCCATAGCAATATCCTTTTCCTTTTCACTGACAACTTCCTTAATTTTTTTTTTGTATATATATAATAACTTAAGATATGAATTATAGTCTGATAATAGGTCATGAAATACACTTAGATGACTTAAAACAACTTCTGTTTATTCCATTTTTTCAAAAATGTTTCGATCCCTGTTTTTTAACATAAATAATGGGATTCTCTTCAGTTCTAGAAAAACAATACCTATCATTGGTATAACAATCAAAATTTTTCATACATTTGAACAATAAAACCAAATTTTTTTTCTTACTTTTAATTGAGCATCGATACTCCAAGCCGGGCAGCATGCTGACAGACCCAACAGTACCAACACAAGGACATCAAGCTACTGAGTGCTGCAGCACGCACCCTGATCCTGAAGCCTGAGAATAATACCGATACCAACAAGAACAATCTACATAACAATCTCTGTTTGGTTATAATTAAAATTGCCAAATTAAGACATTGGAGAATTAAAATAAACTCCAATAAATCCCACCAAATTACCTTTACCCTTCGTCGTAAACCAACGACTTCCTGTCCTACAGTTTCCTTTAACAATACTCCACTTATCCCTGTTGAGCAAATCCGATACCTAGGACTCCACCTGGA